CTTGAATGGGAAAAGACAGAAAGAAAAAAAGAAAGAAAGAAATAAAGGAAGGAAGGAAGGAAGGAAGGAAGGAGAAAGAAAGAAAGAAGGAAGGAAGGAAGGAAGGAAAGAAAGAAAGAGAAAGAGAAGAGAAAGAAAGAAAAGACAGACAGGAAAGAAAAGAAAGAAAGAAAGAAAGAAAGAAAGAAAGAAAGAAAGAAAGAAAGAAAGAAAGAAAGAAAGAAAGAAAGAAAGAAAGAGAAAGAAAGAAAGAAAGAAAGATAGATCAAGAAGAAATAAATAAAAAAGAGGAAGGAAGAAAAGAAAGAAAGAAAGAGAGAGAGGGGGGGAAAAGAAAGAGAAAGAAAGAGAAGAGAAAGAAAGAGAAAGAAAGAAGAGAAAGAGAAAAAGAAAGAAAGCAAGAAACAAGAAAAAAGAGGAAGGAAGGAAGGAAGGAAGGAAGGAAGGAAGGAAGGAAGGAAGGAAAAAGAGAGAAGAAAGAGAGAAAGAAGAGAGAGAAAGAAAGAGAAAGAGAGAAAGAAAGAAAGAGAAGAGAAGAAAAGAAAGATCAAGAAGAAAGAAATAAAAAAGAAGGAAAGAAAGAAAGAAAGAAAGAAAGAAAGAAAGTAAGTGGGGGAAAAGAAAGACAGAAAGAAAGAGAAGAGAAAGAAAGAAGAGAAAGAGAAAAAGAAAGAAAGAAAGAAAAAGAAAGAAAGGAAGAAGAAAAAGAGGAAGGAAGGAAAAAGAGAGAAGAAAGAGAGAAAGAAGAGAAAGAGAAAGAAAGAAAAAAAGACAGAAAGAAAAAAAAAAGACTTAAATCTGCTTATTATTTTACTTCTTTCCTTTCTTTCTCCTCCTCCTCCTTTTCTGCTTTCTCTACACCTGAGTTAGGAGCCGTGTTTATTGTTATGTCTTTAGGAAAGAACAAAAAGATTTAAACAAAAAAAAAGAAAAAAGAGGAGGAGGATTTATTGGATGGGCAATACGTTGGTTTGGCCCAGCCTGAGTCTTGGCAGCCTTCGGAAGGGTGTTTGTGTGGCTTTTTAATAATTACATTTGAAACGGGAAACCCGATCATTTCGCTGAGCAGGGAAGGGACACCCCATCTCCTCTGTCTCTCCTGGAAGATTAAAGTCTCCAAAGAAGAATTCCAACACCCGGCGGCCCTTGCTTCGAACATCTGTCCACCAGGCAGTCCTCCACTTACAGCCACAGTTAAGGAGGGAATTTCCACGGCTAATGATGACCACGATCTCGACCGGAATTTCCATGGTTAAGCCAGGCGGTTCTTAAGGGAATAGAATAGAATAGAATAGAATATATGGAATAGAATATAGAATATAGAATGGAATGGAATGGAAGAAGAGAAGAGAAGAGAAGAGAAGAGAAGAGAAGAGAAGGCAGAATAGAATAGAAGAGAACTAGAACAGAACAGAACAGAATAGAATAACAGAGTTGGAAGGGACCTTGTAGGTCATCTAGTCCAACCCCTTGCTTAAGCAGAAGACCCTATTCCATTCCAGACAAATGGCTGTCCAGTCTCTTCTTAAAAACCTTCAGTGTTGCAGCCACAACGTCTTGGAGGCGAGCACCATCATGGACCCAGGGTTCCTGAAGGAAGGCGAGATAATAATAATAATAATAATAATAATAATAATAATAATAATAATAATAGTAAAGTTGGAAGGGAACTTGGAGGTCATCTAGTCCAACCCCCTGCTCAGGCAGGAAACCCTATACCATTTCAGACAAATGGCTGTCCAGTCTCTTCTTAAAAACTTCCAGTGTTGGAGCATTCACTACTTCTGGAGGCAGGTTGTTCCACTGGTTAATTGTTCTCACTGTTAGGAAGTTTCTCCTTAGTTCCAGGTTGCTTCTCTCCTTGATTAGTTTCCATCCGTTGCTTCTGGTCCTGCCTTCAGGCGCTTTGGAGAATAGCTTGACTCCCTCTTCTTTATGGCAACCCCTGAGATATTGGAATACTGCTATCCTGTCCCCCCTCGTCCTTCTCTTCATTAAACTAGACATGCCCAATTCCAGCAACCATCTTCAGAGAAGATGTGGGCGTGGTGGAGAGCCAGAAGGAGGCCCCAGGCTGGTGGTGGTGCAACCAGCTTGCACGGCCTCGGGGGACCGAGGAAGGCGAACGTCTTTGCGCCTCCCTGCATTGTGTAGGACGGGAGGACCTGGGTGTTCTTCCCCTTCCCTTGTGCAATGGCATTGTCTTCTCCTTGCCCTGGGGTTTATTTCCCGGGGAAGGTCCAGACAAGAGCTTTGTGGTGCTTTTCATCTTGACTCATCCACGGCGTCGTTTTTTTCAGGAGCTCAGGCGTCACCCTTGGGAAATGTTTCACTTTCTCCTGTTCTCCAACCGTTTTCGAGTCCCAGGAGACCTTCCCTGCAGGCCTCGGTACGGTGGCCTTCAAAACCTCCTTCCATCTTCTAGACCAGGGCTTTTCAACCTTTTCACCCATTGTGCCACTTTTAGGATATGGCAATATCCGAGTACCACCAGTCGCCTAGCAAGGGGTCAAAAACTTGATGACCAAAAAAAGGAAAAAACTGATGAAGTACAGGTAGTCCTCGACTTACAACAGTTCGCTTAGTGACTGTACGAAGTCACAATGGCACTGAAAAAAGTGCCCCCCAAGCCACAGCCGAGCAAGACACCTGCCTGCCCACCCGGTGGCGCTCTTCCTCCTGTCCGAGGTTTTCATTGTTGTGAGCATTTCTGTTGAGGATTGGCAGCGGGGATGGGGTGGGGGGGTGTTTGGTTTTTATTCCCCCCGTCTGCTGGGTGGTTGCAGCAGGTTTTGGTCCCTTCCCATGACCCTGGGACTCTGTGACCGTCATAAATATGAATCAGTGGCCAAGCATCTGAATGTAAATCACAAGACCCTGGAGAGGCTGCAACATTCCAGCTGATCGGCGCTTCTTCAGGGCTCAGCACAAGCGCCAGGATCAGCGCTGAGCTCCAGCTGGATCCCGGCACTGATCCTGGGGCTTCCGCTGAGCCCCGACAGCCCTGCAGCTCCAGCCGTCTCTCGCTCAGGCTTGTGCGGTGCTGCCACCAGTTCAGCTCATTCCCCTCCCCTGCTACCACTTTTCTAGGATGCTCGCGTACCACCTGCCAGGTGCCAATGTACCACAGGGGGTACCCCTACCACTGGTTGAAAAGCCCTGTTCTAGGATATTCCTTCCCTACCTGGGTCGCCACGGGCTCCATCCCTGGAGGTTTTTAAGAAGACGTTGCGCAGCCATTCTTCCAGGATGGTACTAGAGGGTCTCCTGGTTGAGCAAGGAAGGAAGGAGAAGCAGAAAGAAAGGATGGATGGAAACATGAAAGGAGGGAGGGAAGGAGGGAGGGAGGAAGCACACAAGAAAGGGAGAGATATAAAGGGAGGAAAGATGGGAGGGGGGATAGAGAGAGGAGAGAAGGGAGGGAGGGAGGGAGAGAGGAAGAATGGGAGTAGAGAAAGAGAAAAAGGGAGAGAGGAAGGAAGAAGGGAAAGGGACAGAGGATGGAAAGAAGGAAGGAAGGGAGTGAGTGAGTGAGTGAGGAAGGGATGGAGGGAAGAAGCAAGGAAGGAAGGAAGGAGAGGTGATGGTTGGAAGCTCCTCAGAGGGAGATTGAACCTAGAAATAAGGAGAAATTTCCTGACGGTTAGAACAATTAACCAGGGGAACAGCTTGCCACCAGACGTTTTGAGTGCTCCAACACTGAAGGTTTTTAAGAAGAAACTGGACAGCCACCTGTCTGGAATAGAATAGGGTCTCCTGGTTGAGCAAGGGGTTGGACTAGAAGACCTCCAAGGTCCCTTCCAACTCTGCTATTCTGTATTCTGTATATCCGGGGTCTTGGTTCTTCTGGATGCTTGTCCCATCTAAAGGAGTCTCTCCTTTGGGACAGGCTAGAAACACCCCTTCACCCATAACAGTGTTCCTCAACCTTGACAACTTGAAGATGGGTGGACTTCAACTCCCAGAATCCCCCCAGGTAGCATGGTGGCTGAGGAACTCTGAAGTCCATCCATGCAGGTTGAGGAACTTTGGGAGTTGAAGTCTTCCCATGCTGGATCTAGAACTCTGGGAGTTGAAGTCCACCCATGTTGACTGGGGAATTCTGGGAGTTGAAGTCCACACATTGATTGGGGAATTCTGGGAGTTGAACTCCGTAGATGGATGGTGGCTAAGGAACTCTGGGAGTTGAAGTCCACACATGTTCGCTGGGGAATTCTGGGAGGTGAAGTCCACAGATGGTAGCTAAGGAACTCTGGAAGTTGAAGCCTACACATGCTCGTCGAAGAATTCTGGGAGTTAAAGTATAATAATAATAGTAATAATAATAATAATAATAATAATAATAATAATAATAATAATAATAATAATAATAATAATAATAATAATAATAATAATAAAAATTGGAAGGGACCTTGGAGGCCATCTAGTCCAACCCCCTGCTTAGGCAGGAAACCCTATACCATTTCGGACAAATGGCTGCCCAGTCTCTTCTTAAAAACTTCCAGTGTTGGAGCATTCACTGCTTCTGGAGGCGAGGAGTTCCACTGGTTAATTGTCCTCACTGTCAGGAAGTTTCTCCTTAGTTCTAGGTTGCTTCTCTCCTTGATGAGTTTCCATCCGTTGCTTCTTGTCCTGCCTTCAGGCGCTTTGGAGAATAGCTTGACTCCCTCTTCTTTGGGGCAGCCCCTGAGATACTGGAAGACTGCTATCATGTCCCCCCTCGTCCTTCTCTTCGTTAAACTGGACCTACCCAATTCCAGAAACCGTTCTTCGTATGCTTTAGCCTCCAGTCCCCTAATCATCTTTGTTGCTCTTCTCTGCACTCTTTCCAGAGTCTCAACATCTTTTTTACATCGTGGTGACCAAAACTGGATGCCGTATTCCAAGTGTGGCCTTACCAAGTCAACAGATGCTCTCTGAGGAACTCTGAGAGTTAACGTCCTCGCATCTTCAAGCTGCCAAAGTTGAGAAACATTGACCCAAAATGTTTTGTTTTCTAGGAGGACCGGGGAAGGCCTTAGGATCTTCTGGGACACTCAGCAAGAGCCAAACTTCCTCGCCCGCTGGAACCCATGGTCCACCAACATGCCGTACATCACCTTTACGGAGCACCCGGTCAAAAATGGCTGCCCGAGGCTTAGCCCCATCTGTCAGGTCGGTCGGCGAGAGACCACCCCTCAAAATGGGAGTGGTGGGGACGAGGTTGCAAGGAGGAGGGGGAGTTTGAGAGGCAGAATTCTCCCAGAGTGGCTGCATTCACACAAGACGCTGGAAGCGGTCACGGAGTAACCCGTTTTCCTTCGTTTGCAAAATAGATGGAAAGTTATAGACTGGGCCAGGGGTAGGCAACCTTGGCTCTTTTATGACTCGTGGACTTCAACTCCCAGAATTCCTCAGCCAGCATGGGGGAACTATGGCCCCTTCATGACTTGCGGACTTCAACTCCCAGAATTCCTCAGCCAGCATAGGGGAACTATGGCCCCTTCATAACTTGAGGACTTCAATTCCCAGAATTCCTCAGCCAGCATGGGGAACTATGGCCCCTTCATGACTTGAGGACTTCAATTCCCAGAATTCCTGAGCCAGCATGGGGAACTATGGCCCCTTCATGACTCGTGGACTTCAACTCCCAGAA